TTATATCCATCTTTATATCAACATGGCCGTAAAAAACACTTTTTAATTTTTTTTTAATGGGAGAGGAGCTCAGGGAAGTCACACACTGCCCAGACGGTCCTCCAGGAAGCCAGCGCTAGTGAGGCTCTTTAAAAGGATCTTTTCTTCCCAGGGAAGAGGACGGTGAGGACAGCCAGAAGGACCCAGCATTCGCGGGGTGCAGGTGTAGATGACTTTACGGACCCTACTGGGCACTGCCCTCTCGAGCCCCACCCACGCCTGGTCCCTGGTGACCACATTCCAGGGAAGAGCGAGGGGGCAGGAGTCAGTGTTCTGGGTCCACCCCGGGAGCCAGGGGACTCGGCTTTCTCAGCCCCGGTTTCCTCTTTTGCCCAACGTGGCAGTGACAACCGGGCTGCATGGGCAGGGTTATTGTGAGAACTAAATAAATCTACCACCATCACAGAGAAACGCTAATCAAACCCACAGTCATGGGCACAGACGTGCAGCCGCCCAGGGCTCAGTTACCCCCAGGGCCCACCCTCTTCTTCCTGCCGGCCACCTGCAGACAAGTGATGCTGTGTCTAAGGAACAGATGAAGGGGCAGGCAGGGGCACACCAGGGGACCCCAGGAGCCACTCCGGCTTCTGCACCCCTTGGTGGAGGACCCAAAGTCCATGGGAGTCCCTCTGCTCAAGGGCACCCACCTCTCCTCCCTGCCCTGATTGGTCATGCTCTGCTTGCCCCCATCCCCAGCACCCACTGGGGGTGCAGAACATGGCTGGCCCAGATGTGGGAGCACAGGCCATGGTACAGGTGGGGAACCAGCCCCAGTCCCAAGATGCTGCCCTCAGGGGATGAGGCCGGGCCGCCCAGCTGCCTCCCTAGGAGACGCAGGTGCCTGGGGGTTTACAGGCTTCCCTCCCACACGGTCAGCTTGCTGGCCAGAGTGGAGCCCAGCTGGGTCATGGCTGTGACTAACAGGAGGGTCACAGCGGGGGAGGAGAGGGAGCAGCGCAGGTTCCTGGGTGGTCTCAGAAGGGCACCTCTGGCCCAAGACTCCACCAGGGCCAGATGGGCAGGAAGCCTGTGCAATCCCAGTTTGGTTTGGAGCCCTTGTGGGCAGGGCTCCCGGCAGGCCACTGTCAAGTTCTTGAAGAAGCCCTGGGGAATGGGGGGTCTGGGTCTCTCCAGGTGCCATCCATGGCACCTGGACGGGTCCCCAGCCCTCAGTGTCTTGCCTGTGGAGAGGATCTAGAGCCACCAAGCCACCAGGAATGGTGGGCTGGGGAATATGGAGCTCGGGAGAGCTCCCAGGTGCTCGGACCTCCCCCTGTGCTGTGGGCACGGTAATGACAGCACCCCCTGCGTGGTGACGGGGAGCGTCACCAGAAACAATGTGTCATGCCCTTTGTGCTTGTGGCCAGCACGTGTTAAGCAACTAAGCACTTCACTTGCATGAGCTCATCTGATCCTGCACAACCACCCTCGGAGGCGGAAACTATTATCAGCCCCATTTTCCAGATGAGGGACACTCGGTGACTCACCCTGGGTCACAGGGCTAGAAACAGCAGGGCTGGGGCTGGAGCCAGGGCAGTCCCTAGCTCTGGGCCCTGCACCGTGCTACCCCAGCAGATGACAAGCCTCAGCCACAGTGTGGGGTGGAGCAGACGCTGGAGGCCAGAGGGACAGAAGGAATCTGGTGTTGGAGGAAAGAGGGAGCACAGGCCTGACATCAGGAGGAACTGATCACGGGGTCAGTGTCACCTGTGAGAAAAATCAGCCCTGGGCCACACGAGCTACCAGGACCAGCCAGACAGGCACACAGGACCTGCTGGGCCAAGTGGTCAGGGCTAGCCAGCATCCACAAGTCCAGAGGAAGAGTCACTTGGAAGAGGGGACTCAAGTCCACTCCCTCTTTACTTTCATCCATTCCCTGTAGGCTCCCAGGGAAGTTTTAGGAACAGGAGGCTCAGAGGATTCTGTTGCCGGGTGAGTCTGGAATTCCTCCATGCCAAATTTGTGGTCCAGAGATTTGCAAGGGACACAAGCAAAATAAAGGCTCTGATATGTCCTGCAGAGCCTCCTGTTTACTCTCTCCAACTAGCACTCCTCCCACTAGCTGACCGTGAAGCCCTCTGCCTGTGCCCGGGGCACCTACTGACACCTACTGACACAGTTTGAGAAAGGCTGGCATAGAACAGACTTTACAATCTTTTCCTTGAAACAACATTTCTGTGCCAGTCATTCGACTTTGCTGTTAAAGCACCCAAGTGAATGGCCCTGGACAAAAGGGCAACAGACTGGCACGTCACCGCGCACGTCACCTCCCAGGTCTCCAGGCGTTCTTCTCCCCCATTTTCCCCAGTCATTTAAAAATATGAGGGCTGGGGGTGGGGCTCGGAGGTAGAGCGCTTGCCCAGCTTGTGCCAGGCCCCAGGTTCCATCCCCAGCACTGCAAAAGGACATATTTATACATATGAAATAGTAAAGTGTGTGTGTGTGTGTGTGTGTGTGTGTGGCCTTTTCTTCTCCCAGGTGCCCCAGATGGGCTGTGGGCTGACTATGACCACCAGCAGGGTTCAGTTATAGGGCAACGGAAAACTCCAGTTCTTTCTAGAGCCTCCTTTCAAGTCTCAGGAACATGGAAAGGGGATGAAGAATGGAGAGAGGAGTGGGGTACCTTCAGCAGAGAGAGAGACCTGGGGAGCAGGGCAAGAGTGTGGTTCTCTGCTCCGTGGTCCCTGGCATGGCTTGTGGCCTTGGTGAGGGTACTGAAACCCAACAGAGGGGCGTTCTGGATGGTCAGGGCGCTCCCTCCTCTCACCCAGACCCTCACAGGTCTTGTAAACTGTTCCTGCTCCCCACATCCTACTGCCACGTCCCTGAGAAGAAGGTAGGAAGAGACACCCTCGAGATTCTGGCCAGTTTTCTCCCCAAGCTCCAGACCACAGTGGTGGCCCCAGACAGGAAGGAAAAAGGGCAGAGCCCAGGAACTACAAAGGACACAGTGACCGAACCAGCTCTGATGTCTGGGTCCACCTGGCAAAATCCAGCATCATCGATGTAGAAAGAGCCAAACCCTGGGGAAATATTTGCTGCTTAAGCGGCAAAGAGCCAAAGTAGAGGAAAAAAAGACCAGCGCACGGCAGAGGGTGAGAACGCGGTGTGCAGAGAGGAAACACGCATGGCGCGGACGGATAAATACTCCACCTCCCCAGAGAGGGAAGCCACGGGGACCGCAGGTGCTGTCCTTCCTCCATCAGACTAGCCAGGGTGGGCAAGACCGAGAACTTGACAGAGAAGGAGGGGAAGCAGGCTCGCTCATGGACAGGTAGGAGTGCAGATGAACGGCCTCTGAGCGGGGCCAACTGACAATATCACAGCAGCAACAGCCAAGGTCACTTTCAGGAATTCATCTAGAGCTACACCCACTCCACTGGAAAATGACCTGCATGCCTGGGTTTGCTATGGCTACCTGTTTATAAGAGCAAGAGATTGGAAAACCCCAGGCATCCACCCCAAAAGGCAATAATAACAGCTTCAACTCTGTTAATTATGGCTCTCCTTCGTGGGTCCTGTAGTCAGGTCATGTTCTAAGTCCTCCGTACTCAGAGTATGATCTGGGGACCTGCAGCCTCAGCATGCCCTGGGGGCTGTCCAAAAAGGACCTTCACCCAGTCCAGCCAACTCAGAATCCACATTTTAACAAGAACCCTGGGGAGTCCCCATGCACATTAAGGCACTATTTTAAACATTCGTCTCATATGAACCCAAAACAACCCCATGGCCCAGATTCTTGTCACCTGCATAGTGGTGATGAGGAAGCCAAGGCTCTGACAGGTCGGGGAAGTTGTTCAAAGTCACATAGGGACGGGAGGTAAGAGCACATGGACCCTACAAAGTCACGTAAGTCTTACAATGAACTAGGAACCTCTTAATGATGAACAGCATCAATCTCCAAGATAAGCTGTCAGATGGAGAACACACTGCACCATCATTTGAAGAACAAAAGGAAAGTAGAATCTCTGTGTAAGCTCTTGAAAACCCAGACAGCATCTCCGAAAAGGAACTTAGTAACAGGGAAACAGCAGCTGCCTCTGGGAAGTGGAACTCAGCAGATGCAGGAAGGAAGCTGGAGGGAAAGTATTCACTGTCACACACTCCCATACTGTTTGACTATGAGGTCATGGGCCTATATTTCCTGTTCCAAAATAAATGAAAAAAACATTTTTTTTTTCCTTAAAACTGGTGGAAGGAAGAAGCTACATGCCCAGAAACCACTCCCATTTAATTAGAAACACCATTTGTGGGGAGGAGAAATGGCACGGCCCACCACTAGCTCCCCACTCTTCTTCCTGTCTGCCTTCTCGCAGGAGGTGGGTTGTGAGGGAGGACAGGTGCCCGGGAGGCCCAGCTACAATGGATTCCAGGACTGAGGACTCAGAACCACTAACAGCGAGGGCACTAATGCTTTGGCAGGTGCAATGGTCCTTAGCCAGGGGCAATTCTGTCCCTCAGAGGACGTTTGGCAATGTCTGCAGGCACTTAGGGGAGACTAGGAGGATACTACGGAGCCTAGAGAGGGGGACCACGGGTGCCACTGAATGTGCTCTGGTGCCCGGGCCAGCCCAGGCTGCCGTGCGTCACGAGGTGGAGAAGCTGCACAAGCACTTGGACCGCTGTGTTTACAGGACTCACCTCAGAGCACTCCAAGGTGAGGTGCTGACAGAGCAGTCCTGGGGCAGCCCTAATTCTGCATCTCTACCATGAGGCACCCCCGCCCCACAGATGTGGGTCCACAGAGCCGTGAGGCATGTGGGTCCACAGAGCCGTGAGGCCTGTGGCCAAGCTCGCCGGCTCCCTGTGAGGGGAAGGGGCTGCTTTGGCTGGGGGTCGAGTCCTGGGGGAGGGGTGGGAAAGCCTGCTCCAGGAGCAAACAGCACACACACAGCTTCGGACATCCTGACCCAGAGCGCGGGCTGCACCAGAACCAGTGGTGGCGGTGGCCAGGGACTCACCATCCAGAGTCTCCACGGAGAGCTGCAGGCCCAGGTTGTGTCTTGGGTTGACCACCCAATGGTTGCTGGTGGCTGTGATGTCGAACACCAGCCAGCCCTCCTCAGAGGCCCAGAGGGTGCGGCTGTCGAGCAGGAAGAGGTCAGACTCCCTGTGAGAGAGGAGGAGAGACACAGGCCCATGGTTAGCCCAGCACCGCTCAGTTCCCCCAAAGCCAACAGAGAAAAAAGAGTCTGTGGGACAGGGAGCCACGAGGGGGCCACTTGTTTCCCAAAAGTGAGTTCAGCAGACCAAGACCCAGGCACAGAGAGCTCTCAGGAGTCGTGGTGGGGAAAGGGAGCGCAGAAGAATCACAAAAAGACACATGCAGAGGACGCAGGTGCTACCAGGAAATCTCGTTCCACCACGTGTTGGGGGAGGGGCTCTAGCAAGAAGAGTCATCAAGACACCCAAGGCCTGTAGGCTGCATGTGGCTGGGAGAGACCTGGGGCAGGAAGTGACGATTCCTCACTTATTGCAGCAGAAATTCACCCTGCAGAAGATGGTGGATGGATGGGTAGATAGGAAGGTGGATGGGGTAAATGGGTGAATGGGATGAATGGGTGAATGGGGTGGGTGGGTGGGTAGATTGGCAGATAGATGGGTGGGTGCAGGTTTGGATAGCTAGATGAGTGGATGGGTGGATGTATTCTGCCTACAAGGTCTTCATAATATCTCTTGTGAACATTTAATTGCAAAGACTCAGTTTTAATACTTTGGGTCCTTCAATACTCATTTAAAATACTGGAACCCCTAATGTGCCATGTGCCAGGGATTGGAGTGGCACAACTATGTGGGTAGCAACTAGAAGTCTAGTGAGTCAGAGGCCACAGGTGGCCAGGAACATGCTCCAGTCTGATGAATAAAATGTAATTTATTCCACCAGTCTGGCCCCTGCCCCAGGGCATTGGTAGTCTCTATCATCCTTGGAGTTAACTAACTTTCCTTGGGGTTAAGGTGAATTTTCTCTGCTCATACATAAAGATGTGGGATGTGGCAACTCTTAACTGAGTTCTTACCACGTGCCAAGCTCTGAGTTGAGACGTCTGACCAGCATCGTGTCACTGAGTCTCACAACAACTCTACAAGGCAGATAATATTGCCAATGCTATTGTTCAGATCTCAAATTGAGGTTCAGAGGGTGGAGTTGTCTGCCCAGGGTTATTCCACTGGGACAGGGTCCAGGCAGGTGGAGCCCAACCAGGCTGCCTGCAAGCCCAAGCCTGCAATGTCACATGAAGACAGAGCTTGTGGACTTTACCTTGGCTCTGGTGTAGCTTGTTACAAAACACGCCACTAAATCTCCTGCTGGAGCCAAGCAGCCATGCCCCTTTGGATGAGGCCCATGTCTCAGGTTGGCCCCAGTCCCCTCTTCCTACAAACAACTGCCAATCACCTCCATTCACCATTCCCAGAGACCTCTAAGTGTGCAAGGGCAGCTGAATTACCATTCTGCTGAAGCCACAGTCCCTTAGACATTCCCCAGGCACATCAGCAAGTACGGCCCAGGAAACAAGTCTTTGTATCAGCCAGTGTCTCTGATGATTTTAACTCAGAACTCACTAGCAATGCGTTGGGAATGAACAGGCCGCTCAGGGAAGCCCCAACGGGGATGAAGAACCAGGCTCAGAAAGCAAACATGGAGGAGGCAGGTGTGATGGAGCAGGACAGGTGGGGCGGGGATCCTGCTCTTCTTTGCCCTCTTTACATCTCTCCCTCCAAAAGTCTGGAGACGGAGAGTTTAGTTGGCTGGGTCAAGTCACACTCTGTGGTACGGTGGGGCTTGGCTTTCCCCACCCCATGCCCCTACAACCCCACCGTTTAATTCAGATTCAGAAAGTCCTGAACTCGATTCGGAAAGTGTTGAATTCTATCATTGGTTTGGTCTGAATATTAGTGTCCCTCCCAGAACCTATGTTGAAACTTAATTCCCAATGTGGCAGTATTAAGGGGTGGGACCTGTCAGAGGCAATTAGGCCACGAGGAAGCCACCCCCATACATGGATTAGCCCTCGGTAGAGGCTTGAGGTGGGAGTCCCTCTTGTTCTTCCCGCTTTCACCACAGGAGGACGCAGAAGGCGCCATCTTGGAGCAGACAGACCTTGGCCAGGCATCAACCCTGCCAATGTCTTGGCTTGGGACTTCGCAGCCTCCAACTGTGAACCATAGATCTCTATTCCTTATGAATGACCCAGTCTCATGTATTTTTGTCAGAATGACACAAATGAACTAAGACAAAGGGCCAGTGTGCTCAGTGGCCTCTAGTCTGAGGACCAACAAACAGCCACACACAAGACAACACGTCATCCCCAGCCAGCCACACTGGAGGCCCTCCTGATCCGCCAGAGGCCCGTCCTTCTCCATGACACAGAGAGGTTACAGCAGCAAGGAAGTCCTTCTAGAGCCACGTGGGATTTTAAAGACCCTGTGTTGGACTTTCTTCTCCAAAGTGAATCAAAATAATGAGTCGACTTTTCACGACCCATTTCCTTCTGCTTCTCCCAGGGCCCTTATTTCAGAACTTGCTCAGGGGATGTCCACGTGGCTTTCAAACTCACAAACAAGAATTTCCTGCTGTCTTCATCTCCAGTGTGCCTTGATGACTTTCCCATCCCTGGAGAGTTCCCAAGACCATCCATGAACCAGTGAGCTGCTCTGGACAATTCACAGATGGGAGCAGGGACACCGTCCAAGTCAAAACACGCCCCCCCACTGAGCCGGCTCCCGCCCCACAGGAAACATCCACACCTTAGCACAGAAGTCACAAACCTGGGTGGTGATTTTTTTGGAAAATCATTATTTGTAGGAAAATATGACCAGATATCTGGACAGGCCCTGGTAGACAGTAAAACAATGAATGGTAACCGAGGGAACAGCATTCGGCCTCACACAGAGGACGCCCTGCCAAACGATACTGAGCACTCTCATCACAGGCCAGGACACCGAGGCCAGATGCTGCAGGCTGGCGCTGACTCACCCCTGAACCAGCAGGAACGAGGTGACTCCCGCCCCAAATCATGGTGTGCAGTGTGTCCCAGGCACGCCTGGAAGCCAGGCCTCCTCGGAAGGCACAGGAGAGGGGAGCCTCGCTGAGACGGGCCACGTGCGCTGAGCACAGGCTTTGCCTGCAGACAGGCAGCTGGGTGGCAGGCTGGACACACAGGGAGACACGGAGGACCAGGCAGCTGCCACGCCCAGGCATGCTGGGAGAGGGCAGCTGCAGTCGCCATCCCACGAGCAGCCCGTCCTTACCACCAGGAGAGCGCTGAATGGGCCCTTTGTGACAGTTTTATTTACCTTAAATACAATGGCCTCCCTGACCCAGCCCAGGGAGAGCGGAGGGTAGGGAAGGCGCCCCAAGGAACCGGAAGATGATCTTCCCTTTTCGCCACTCCTGAAAACCCAGGTGCTTTCCAAACTCCCCTCCCTGACTCTCCCTGACAGCTCCAGACCCTGGTAAGGGTACGGGTCCCGTTTTACAAGAGGACAGTGACGGTGGAAGAGGGGAAGCCACCTGCCCACAGTGGCAGGCCTTACTCGTGGCAGAACCGAGCCACAGCAAAGGAAACCTGCTCCAGAAGCCGGTACAGAAGCCACGCGGCCTCCTTAGCCCACTGTCTCCTGGGGGCCCAGAGACGCAGGGAGCTGGGAATCCTGCTGTCTCACGGCACGATGGGGTGGAGCAGGTGCTGAGGGGCGCAGATCCAGGGGTGGAACAGCTAATCTGGGTCTCAGTCTGCTCCTCCGCAAAGTGGGGACAAGGCCGTCCTTGTAGACAACTGGGAGGAAGAAGAGAAGCTCGCCTGGCCCCAGAGGCCAGCGCTCCCAGGACATGTGCGCAATCGGGGTGTGGGCTCTCCCTGCCACAGGAATTCCAGCTGGGCCCAGAGGTTACGCAGCTCCCCAAGATCCTCCAGGCAAGCCACCACATATCCATCCAAAGACCTCACCTTTGACCCCAAAACATGTAAGGATGTTAGCAGTTGTGGGAGGCTAACATCCAGCACTTCCTGCTGTCTGTCTCCCGTGCTGCTCTCTTGGCATCTGCACCCACTTCTGAAGTCCACTGTGACTGGAGGACCTGGGGGCCAGCCCTGCCAGCTCTAGGCAGGGCTCGAAGGCCTAGGCAGTTCTTGGTTTTGCCCCTGGGGAGCCACCACGTCAGGAAACCCAACTGCACTGGGGAAGGTAGAGCCCACAGAGGATGAGGGTCTGTGAAGGGACTGAGAGAGGAGCCAGGCAGCCCAGGTGCGGGTGGTCCAGCCTCCCCAGGGACCACACGGGAACCACCAGAGCAGAAGAACCACTGGCCGAGCCCTGCCCATATTACTGAGCAATAAAATAATTGTTTTGAGCCACTCCTGGGTAGTCCAAGAGAGATAATCCAAAGAAGGGTCATGCTGCTTATGACACAAAAGCTGAAACTGCCCCCTGGGGGATTGGCCAAGACATCGAGGCCCGTCCAAGGCAAGCATGCCCTGCACAGCTGCTGCACAGGACCTGTCAATCCACTTGCAGTCAAGGGGAACACAGAGTCAGGAAAAAGGTGTTATAAAACACGGTGTGTCACAGGTGCGTTTCTGGGGAAAGATAAAATGCTCAAATGAGTGTGAGAAGAAATGGAGAATTTCAAGAGTTGAATAGGCATGAAAGAAGTCAAAGGAGGAATAAAAGATCTCCTGGTCCTCACACCTCAGGTGGGTGCACCCTGCTCTTTTACCAAGATCTCTAGGCCACCGGTTGTAACTCCTCCTTCCAGGAGTGTGAGAGGAAGAGGGCAATTCAGAGCCCGCACCGTACAGCTAGTGTGCCGCTGACTGCCAAATCCGGGAGGGCCCATTTGAACAGACGTCTCGAGAGAAGACGGACAGATGGCCACAGGACACACAAAAAGATGTTCAACATCACGAGCTGTTAGGAAAAAGTAAATCACGGCTACAAGACAGCACTTGACCCCCTCAGGAAGGCTGAATAAAAAGCTCAGACACGACCGAGAATCCGGGAGGAAATGAAGAACGAGGCCCACACACTGGCCATGGGAGGTGAGATGGTGCCATCGGTGGGGAAGTGGCTGGACAGTTTCCCAAAAGGGGAAACATAAGCATCATTTCC